TCACCCTCAGAGGAAAGAAGTTCTTCCTCATATTCAGACGGAACTTCTTGTGCTTCAGTTTGTGCCCATTGCCCCTTGTCCTGTCTCTGGGCTCCACTGAAAAGAGCCTGGCCCCATCCTCCTCACACCCACCCTTGAGATATTTGTAAGTATATATTAGGTCCCCTCTTAGCCTTCTCTTCTTCAGGCTGAACAAGCCCAGCTCCCTCAGCCTCCCCTCGTAGGAGAGATGCTCCAGCCCCCTCATCATTTTTGTAAGCCCTCTGCTGGGACTCTCTCCAGGATCAACCCTCCCAGGCTCTGGCTGCCTCAAACCCGGGCTCAGATCCCCGTTTTGCCAGCAAAACCCAGTGGCTGTGCCAGCACCACCGGGCTGGAGCCACGGGCTCTGCGGTGAGGGCAGGAGCAGCCCGGGGACGCTCCACGGTGAGGGCAGGAGCGGCCGGGGACCGGCAGGGTCTGCCCAGAGATGGGGTTTGGCATCATCATGCCCAACCATGGGTGAGTTCGTTGCCTCGCTGTCTCTCCTGATTGCAAAATGGACATGACGCCGCTGCCCTGCCTCCTTCGTGTTCCTCTGGGAAAAAGCTTTCTTGTGCTCGTAGTGCTGTTTGCATCCTCTGTGTCACCGCACGGCAAAGGGTTTTGCAAGAGAAAGGAGGGATCACTCATCCTTCCTAATGACCTAAGAGGAGACCGAGGCGCAGAGGAGGTTCAGTGATGGATGAGCTCAGCCGAGGTCCATGACAGGCCCTCGTCCCCGGGCAACAACGGGGCAGTGACGTCTGCTGCCACCGGCAGATGGGACGACGCATTCCTTACCCACAACCATCCTTGCAAGGCAGCGTTCTGCACAACGGCAGGACGGCTTCTGCCTTTGGTGAAGCCTTCGTCAGAGAAGCAGCTGACCAGAAATCGCGGCCGCTGTCTCCGGAAAGCAGCGAGAGAGCAGCGATCCGCTCGTGGGTGCACGGAGCAGCCGACGCTCCCCACAGCCCACGCCGAAGCTTCAGAGCACAAGATCTTCACCCCGACCAACGTTTCCAAGACACTGCTTTGAAATCCTTTGCTCATTTATCCTAACCAGGCAGGGTGTTCCTGAACCTCCCCACTGACATCTCTCTGATACCAAAGTGGCTTTTTGTGACTCAGCTGGGAAAGAAACTGCCCAAGACAAGAAACTGGGGCAGCACCAGAGAGGGACCGACTGACATAGCGAATGTGCTGAGCCGGGTACCCGACCTGCGACGGGGACACAGCCGGCAGCATCCACAGCTCCGCGACTGCGGGGTGAGGAGGGCACCTTCCCTGCAACCACCCGCGCAAACAGCGAAATGCCCGGGCTGAGAACCAACGCCGTGCTTCAGACGGGAGCTTTAGGGCGTGAATCATCCTTTTTTTCTTTTTTCGCCCCATAGCAAGTGCAGGAGATGAAATCACAGAATCACAGAATGTTCGGGGTTGGAAGGGACCTCTGTGGGTCACCCAGTCCAACCCCCTGCCCAAGCAGGGTCACCTACAGTAGGCTGTAGAGGACCTTGTCCAGGCGGGTCTTGAATATCTCCAGAGAAGGAGACTCCACAGCCCCTCTGGGCAGCCTGGGCCAGGGCTCCGTCACCCTCAGAGGGAAGAAGTTCTTCCTC